GCATACATTAGAGGCAGACAAGACTGAACCAGTTCACATCACCCACTGGTGAATTGGAGCACTGGAATAGAGTGTGGGTGGGACTGGGTTCAATTGCAACACATACCAGTATGCACCAGGGCTAGGACTGGGTACCGGCTGGACTGGGCTAGGCTGCAAACCCTGCCAGTGGGAACTGGAATTGGGGTGGGCCAGGCTACAACAGCTACTGCCAAATGCCAAGGTGAGGCAGGCCATGCCATACTGAGCCGTAGCATTCAAATAGCACACATGAGAAATGGGGGACAGGGGACAAAGCTGGTAGGGAGAATGTGGAATGCTACTCTGCTGGACCACCGCTCTTGCTGGAGAGCATGATCAGACCAGGCAGGGCTACCAAATCTGCTGGCCTCATGTGAGCTAGATGAGGGAAAAGCCAGGCTGGGCTGATTGTTCCTACTGGTGCAAGCATAAACCAGAGTTGGTGAGTGTTGGTTGGGCTCTGTTGCAGCATCAGCTGGCAGAGGCTGGCACTAGGGGCTAATTGTGTCAAGTCAGACTGCAAAACTCCTGGAGAGTGCATGATCTGGGAGTGGGTGTGGGCCCAGTAGGAAAGTAGTTGGTGTTTCCCTCTCTGGGATGCTGCTCCGATGGTGATCATGAGAACCAGGCCTGGGGCAGACATGGCTAGACAGAGTGGTACCCACCGGCACTTGTGTGGGCTGGATAGTGGGGCTGGTTGGGTTTAACTGGGCTTCAATGTCCATTGACATGCATGAGACCTGAATGGGATGTGTCATAGCCTGGACCTGGACCAGTCTGCTGTACATACTGGCAGGCACAGGAATGAGTGGATGGGGCAGGACTGGTGGGGTTATTGTGAGTCACTCTGACTAGGTTGCAGCTCCCACTGGTTTGCGTGAGGCCTGAATGTGATGGGCAGGATTAGACTGTGCTCCAACACCAATTAGTTTGTGTAGAAGACAAGACTTGAGTCAGAATTGACCCTGCAGTTGCAACTGCAGGGGGGGAAGAAATAAGAGAAATCAAAAATAGTGCTCAAGACCTATGGGGTACTTTCAAATGGCCTAACATGCATGCATTAGGAGTTCTTGAAGGTGTGGAAAGAATGAGTTTGAAAACCTCTTTAGCAAAATAATAATGAACGCTTTCCCTACTATGAAGAATGAAATGGGTATTCAAGTCGAGTAATCATATAGAACTCTGATAGATTATAGTCATCTTTCTCCAGTAAAACAAAGACTCTAAAATGTGCAGAAAGGAAGACATATTACTTTCAGAGGATTTCCAACCAAGCTTTCAGTTGAATTCTCATCAGAAACCTTACAGTCTAAGAGAAATGGAGAGGCATAATTCATGAACTGAAAGAAAGAAATTGCCAACCCAGAACATTATACCAGCAAAGCTCTCATTTATAGAGAAAGTCCAAAGAAAGAACTTCCAAAACAAACAGAAATGAAGAGAATTTTCACCACCCTATAAACCCTACAAATAATGCCTCTGTATGGGTGTGGACTGGTTTTGGCGTATGCAATACTGGGCTGGATTCCAGCACCTATCGGAGCTGGTGAGAAACAGGATGGATGTAGGATGGGCTAGATCTCCGTCCTTGTTGAGCTATGTGTGATCTATGTCTGGGTTCGGACCAGGCTAGGCTGGGCTGCAGCACCCAACAGTAAGAACCAGAATGAGTGAGGGCCATTCAGGAAAGGCCACTGTTCTATGAGGACAGGAGGTGCAATAAGTAGGGCTGGCCCATGGACCCAATGGTGTTTGTAAGTTGTGGTATTAGGAAAGGTTTTGATGGAGAAGATTGGGGAACTCTCCTGTTGGGTCACAGTCCCTGCAGGGGAGTGCAAGAAGCAAGAAAGGGAATAGCCCAGACCAGGTTACAGTGCCCATGGGCTTACCTTTGGACCAGTTCATATTAGCCACTGGCAAATCCGAGAGCCAGAGTGAGGTGTGGGTCATGCTGGTTGGGCTGCAATACCAGCCAGTTCACACTAAGGCTGGGATTGGGGGCTGGCTGGTCTGGCTAGGCTGTAGTCCCCACCAGTGTGAGCTGGAAGTGGGGGTGGACAAGGCCAGGCCAGGCTGTAGCACTCACTGGCAAATGCCGAGGTGAGGCAGGCAATACATAACAGACTAGGCCACAGTACTCAACCAGCACATGAGACCTGGGGGAGAGTAGGTGAACTGATGGGGGACTGCAGGGAGATCCCCTGGATGGACCACAATTCCCACTGGTGAGCATGAGAGCTGGGATTGACGGCAGACCAGGCCAGACAGGGTTACAATACCTTTTGGCCTGAACGTAAACTGGATCAGAGACAAGCCAGGCTGGGCACACTATACCTACTGGTGCAAGCACAAACCAGATGGGACGAGGATTTATTGGGCTTTGCCACAATATCAGTGAGCAGATCCTGGCATGGAAGGACATGTCTGTGAAGTTAAACTGCAGTACCACCTGGAGAATGCGAGATCTGGGAGTAGGGAAACAGTGGGCACCTTCCTCTTGGCTTGCCATGCAGAGTGGTAAGAATGAAAACCAGGACTGGGACAGGCATGGCTAGACAGAGTAGCATCCAGCAGCACAGTTGTGGGCTGGAGAGTGGGGTGGGTTGGATTAAACTGGGCTTCAACACCCATTGACTCATATGAGAACTGATTGGGCTGTGGGACTGACAGGACCAGTTGGTTGTACATACTGGTAAGCATGGGAACCAGGGAAAGAGGCAGGTCTGGTGGGGCTTTTGTGGGTTGCTCAGACTAGGCACCAACTCCCACTGGTTTGCGTGGGGACTGAGTGTGTGGTGGGCAGGATCAGGCTGGACTGCAATACCCGTTAGTTTGCGTAGAAGACTGGACTTGAGGCAGACCTGACCCAGCAATTGCAACTTACAGTGTGCACAAAGTCCAGTTTGGGCATGATGGGGTCACTCTTACTTCTGATTTCCGGAATCCATTTTCATGTGTGGTAAATGGTGAGAGGGAAACAGAGGCAGACAGCTTAGCAAAATACAAATATATCCGAGATGACAGGAGCCTTGGGATTTTACTGTGGTGCCTGAAAATTCGACAGAAACCTGCCTAGATTTCAAACTTTTTGGCTTTGCAGCATATCCAACTGTTGCTTTCAAGTCTCTCCTTAGGTCCTCAAGGCAATAGCAGACTTTGTTCTGAGAGACCCAAGCAGCGGTAGAGCTATAGGCTTCAATGTCAAACTACGCTGGCAGTTTCCATGACTCCTGCAGGGGTCAAGTTCATGCCTGCATCTGCTGTGGATGTAAGACATGCATAGGGGCCATGGAACTGCGTGGTGAACAATGGCCCTCATAGATTGAGGCATCAGCAGGAAGACACACCTGCTCTCTTTTTCTCCCTTCCCACTCCAAAGCAGCAGTGCCAGCATACCTGGGGATTCCAGGCTCTCCACTGTGACACTGTTAGAGCCTTTCCCCATGGTACCCAACAATGTCCACAGTGCATTTTCCCATAGAGTTCACTCTACAGGAGGCTTGTTCACTTCCACTGTTATCACACTGGAGGTGGCAGATCAGACATTTCCCCCATTGTCCCAGTATAGCCTGGGTTTTTGGATTGACCTATTTGGATTTCGGAAGTCCCCATGTGCCAGTTAACTTTGCTTTGTATCTCCTAGAACGTTCCCAAATCCTGACCACCTTCGGAAGGACTTTGTGCCATTTGCTCAGTGCCCCCAATGCCACCACTCTATACTGCTACACCCGTCTCGTTTCTCTATGGAACCAAGTGATTTAAAGCTTGCTTTTATTACTCTATAGTGGAGGAATTTCCACAATGCTTTCCGTGTTGGAAGCAATTTCTTAGGTGGCACTGCTTTCAGCCTAACACTTAATGTCAACACACCAATTTGGCAAGTGAAGCAAACTGGTGCATGGATTTAAAAGCCAATGTTGGACTGCTCTACTGTGGTAGCATGCAAAGCCCACCTAAGCTGGAACACCCTCTCCGCTTCCCTGAGCATGCCTCACTCCAGGATCACTCATACTGTGTCTGTGATAACAGTAAGTCTGCAGCTCCATTAGGATGGGTCCCTAAAACAGAACCCAGGGGCAGTTTGGTAAAATGACATGGACAGCATGTCAACAGGGCCAGGCCCCAGCACAGACCTTTCCAGCACGATGTAATTGATGTAAAGGTGAGAAAGGAAATTGAGGACAACACGCACTTTGACACAGCTGACCCTGAGCCTCCTCTGGAGGAATTAGGCTGCCACATCTACAGCAGCAATCCCCTTTTTGAAGTTCACGGGGCCAGTCAGTGCATCAAGTTTAAATAAGTCGGTTAACAAGAGGCCAGAGACAGCAAAGGGAGGCTTGTGCCATCAGCAGTGGTGTGGAGACCCCCTGCATGTTCTCAACTTTGAGGAATGAAAATCCCTGTGAGCTTTCAGTGACACTATGTAGATTAAAGGGAGAGTGGTTGCATGCAGCTTGTGTATTGTTGTGTAGTGTGGCTATGGGGCAATGCAGACATTAACCATTCCCCGCTATTTTACACTTCCAGCAAATCCTCTCTAGTCAGTCAAAGGAACAATGCCTTGTGGGCATGCTGCTCCCCTGGCATCGTGGGAAGGGGAGACTTGTGCCCTCACAGGTATACTCACAGTAGCCTAGCCTGTTTGACAGTTGTCCTGGTCCTGAGGCGAACAGTGTAAGCAGCAGAGGGGAAGGAAGACAACTCCACGTGCAAATGAAATTAACAGCCATCTGACAGTTTAATTCGCCTGTCCATTCACATCGGCTACAAGGCGCATTGTTAAGTGTTGGACTGACTCCTATGTGTGAGCAAAAACAGCGACTCCCAGGCTATTATTTTTTTAAACACCTATCCTTTACCACCCAGTGCTGTAGCATGCATGCATGGTGAGTCCTTTTCCAGGGCACTGAATCTATGTATATAAAGGTTGCCAAAACCAAGGCATGATGGCTCTGTTGCTTTTTTACAATGTTGAGATCTTGCTAATGTATTGTGTGCACATAACAGACAAATCCGACGTCACCATGGGCCTACTGGTGGTTTAGTGAGGCCCACCAAGCCTGCTTCCATCCCAGGAGAGGGCATTCCAGAACTGGCAGAGGAGGCCACCCCTAGGAAAGAAAGAGAGCAGCAGAAGCCTTTTGGCAAAGTCCTGAGAAAAGCTTGTGGAAGACCACCAATATATTAAAGGTGGATACTGTGTTGCCCAACGAGGGAGGCTGCCACCCCAGGGGAGACTGCAATGGAATTCCTGCCCTGGCCTTTTTAGGTATTTGGGGAATGAGCCAATCAATGGGTGCAAGCTCTGTCCCTTCCTTTCAGAATTTTTTAAAAAGCTCTTCAAAGCTTTAAAAATAAAATACAGACACAAAGGATTGCTTCACTCCCCAAGTTTCCACAAGAGCAGGACCTGGCCAGAGAACTCTCCTGTGGCCTTCTCATGTGGGTAGCAGGGGCCTGGGCACATTGAGACTGAATTACAAGTAGAGAAGATGTCACAACTAGTAGCTTAGCAGGTTGGTCCTAGCCCTTTGTTTCTTTGAGTTACTGCATAAAGATGACATGCGGGCTGTGGCCTGTCTGCCTTCACGTCCTTCCTTGCCTCCCTGGCAACAAAGGGAGGGAACTTGGCCAGCACTTTGTAAGCCCCTAAGGCGCAGTCCCTGTGCAAGGGGGACATCCTGTGACTCTTACCACAGGTGGTGATGGCTCAGATTCTCCTTAGTGATGTCACTAGGAATTGCAGACAGCAGGTAGCCTTCCTCAACGATCTGAAACAAAGAGCAGCCACGTAAGAGCACTTGTGAGTGGCAGAGCAGGAGCAAGCTTTTGGCAATGATGGTACCTTCTTTTAAAAATTATTATTATATCTTGATAATCTTTACATGGTTGATTAGGGCACAAAGGGCCGAGGGCTACAGGAAATTGGGTAAGACCACTGTTTCTGCATTTTTTTTTTCCTGCATCTAGAGTAAGGAGAAAAATAAAGGCAGGAGCCCCATCCAGCCTCCCACCCCATGCCAAGGTGTCCAATGTGGGCGCTGCTCCAAGGGCACTGCTCAAGCAGTCTTGATAGTTCAACAGTTCTGAATTGCTGCAAATCTTGCCATTCCAAGCACGATGAAATCACTCCAGAATCCACTGGCTGAAATAGTCCACCTTAGTGTCTCCATTTGCCCAATTTTCACTGCCAACACATGGCTGGGGTATTTGATTGATTTGTTCTGTCCTCCATGCTTTGTTGTAGTACCAGGTGTCCTCTGCAGGTTCCGATGGACTGCCATATCTTTCATGTGCACCTGGATATGCTGTCCACTGCTCCATCTGAGCCTCTGAGGAGGCTGAGCCTTGACGCTTGCACTGCATGGTCAGACCATGGGACCTGCACTTCTCTTCATGGTTGGCATTCTGAGATCAGCAATTCAGTTGGAGTGATCCCCAGAGATACTTTTTCTGAGATGATATCTGACTTGTGTATTCATGGCAATACAGGGTCTGGCACAGTCTGTCACCCCAATCAGCTTATACATTTGCTGGTGGTTGCAATTACTGGGTAAGTTCTGTTTCCAGCTCTGTATTCCATGCAAAGTAATGGATATTGCAGTCCAGCCTGATTCTGCCCATTATACACTCAACCTTCACACAAATCAGTGGGAGCTTCAGCCTAGTCGGAGCAACCCACAATAACCCGCACCGTGCTCTCCCCCTGCCCTGGTTCCTGTGCTTGCCAGTATGTGCAGCGGGCTTGTCCAAGCTGACCCACATCCCATTCAGACCTCACACATGTCAGTGGGCATTGAAGCCAAGTTCAATCCAACCAGCCCCACTATCCAGCCCACACACATGTGCTGGCGGGTGCCACTCTCTGCTTAGCCATGCCTGCCCCAGTCCTGCTTTTCATGCTGTCCAATGGGAGTGATAACCAAGAGGGAGGTGCCCACTATTTCCCAACTGGGCCACTCTCACTCCAGGATCATACACTCTCCAAGTGGAGTTTGACTCTGCAGTTTGACTTGACAGAATCAGTCCCTGTGCCAGCCTCTGCCAGCTGCTGCTGCAGCAAAGCCCAACCAACCCTCACCCTCTCAGATTTATGCTTGCCAGTCAGCCCAGCCTGGTTTTCCCTGATCTAGCCCACATGAGAACCACAGGTGTTGTAGCCCTGCCTGGTCTGGTCTGCCCACATCCCAACTCATGCTCTCCAGTGGGAGTGATGGTCCAGCAAGGGAGCCCTCCACATTCCTCCTACCATTTTGTCTCCTCCCCTACTGTTTCTCACATGTGCTAGTTGGGTGCTGTGACCTAGTCTGACATGGCCCGCCTCACCTTAGCATTTGCATTGGGTACTGTAGCCTGGCACGGCCTGACCCACCCCAATTCTAGCTCCTGTTGGTGGGGCTTGCAGCGTAGCCCAGCCCAGCAGGCACCCAGTCCCAGTCATAAAGTGTATTGGTATATGTTGCAACCGAACCTGGCCCGACCCACACTCTGTTCTGGTGCTTGGATTCGCCAGTGGGTGATGTGAACTGGTTCAGGCTTGTCTGCCCCCGACTGATTCCAAATGTATGCCAGTGAATACCTTTCTCTGGCCTGGTCTGCGTTGCTCCCTATTGTGGTTCTTGCACTCAGCTGCAGGGACTCTGTCCTGACAGAGGAGTTTCCCAAGCTCCTCCATCAGAACCTCTTCCAATGGCCTTTTTCGACTGGCTCTCAACCCATTCTGGTTCTTACTGTTGGATGTTTCAGCCAAGCCAAAGCTCATTTATACCCAGACACAGCTCATACATGGTTCAGTAGGGGCAGAGACCTAGTCTAGTCCATCCTATATCTACCCTGGTCCTTCAGAGCACCAGTTAGTTAGTGCTTGAGGTTAGCCTGGCTCAGTGTGCCCAGTCCCAGTCCACACTTGTGCCAACGGACACTGCAGCCATATCCAGACCAGAACACAGCCCCCACTCTGGCTCTGGCACACACCCATGGGAGCCTCAACCCAGCCTGGGTGTCCTCTTAGCTTCCCAATCAGGCCTGTTCCCAGCCATAGATTGTGTACATGCTAGCGGTTGCTCTGCCCCAGCTTGGCATAACCCCTCACTTGTCTAGGCCATTGCCTTTGATGCTATAGCCTAGCATCCCTGGCTCTTGCAAAATCTAGCTCAGCATGACCTGTGCTCCAGCCTGACTTCTGTTATTGCTGGTGAGGAAAGGCTTGCTCGGCCCTGCCCAGTCCATAATGCCCACTTCCATAACCAATCCACACATTAGCCAGTCATTGGAGCTACTTTTTCCAGCTTGCCCAACCCCCAGGCCTGGACCACGTGATCATCAGTGAGAGTTATGACCCATTAGAGGAGCTTCCCCAAGTTCCTCCACTTGACCCACTCCCAGTCCCAGATCTCATACATGCCTGCGGGTATTAGGCCAGTGCCCAGCATAGACTGCCCTTCCATCTTGGCCTTGTATGAGCTGGTGAACGTTGCAGCCTGCTCCATCTCACACCCGGTTTTAGGATGCACATTCGGTGTTGCTGCCTTGACCTGTCCAGACCTTTTTTGGTCCCTTTACCCATCAGTGATGGCAGGTTGCATGGTCACACCTAACGCAGCCCATAACACCCCAACTCTTGAGCTAAGCAGTGGGACTTGTATTTCCAAAGGGTTGGGCCCACACATCCCCCACAGAATCTACTCCCAGACTTGGTTATGTCATGTGCTGGTTAGTGTCATGGTCCTGCCTAATGTGACCCACCCCTGATCCAACATTCTGACAGATACTAGGATATAGCCGTGCTAGACAGGCCCACAGCCTTAGCTTTTACATGGACTGGCTTATGGTGGTCAGCATTGTTTGGTGATAACAAATACACAGCACTCACAAGTAGGCTGGTGTATCAACCTGACCCATACAGATATTTCAGTCTTTACCCTACCATGTGTCAGTACCCTCGCTTAGAAGGTACCTTTTCAATGATGCCTGCGTCAGCTCCTTGTAGCTTCAACCAGTCTAACAGACTCATTTGTGTCCTCTGACCTTGAGAGAGCCCAGGATCCTTGGCAGGAGCTGTGATAAAGTGAAAATGTTTGTGCATTAGTGTGTGAAATCCAATGCTTCCAAAATAAGTAGGTAGATACAATAAGACCAGAAGGCAAAGATGATGGGAAATGATGAACTGACCCAGCCTTGCACTACTAGGGACTACACAAGTGCTCTTACTATGTGCAGCTTCACTATCCATTCAGAGTGCTTCTGCCTTGTTGAAAATGCTTTTTCTCTAAAGCTTGAATAGCTCTGGAAGGCAACTCAAATAACGAGATAGATTTCACATGAAGAAGATTATATTAGAGCTACTCGATTCTGTATGGCAAAGAAGTAGCTCTAACTTCAGACCAGACTCAGGTAGAATTGAGTCAGTGAAGTGCTGCCTTTAGGTACACAGGGCTATGAAGTGAGGACACACACACTTCCCTTCACCCGAAACTGTTGTTAAGCCTCCTTTGGGTAAGCCAACCCTTCCAAGTGCCTCAGAGCAGCCCTGGCTGCTTCCCATTACAATGACAAGCTCTGGATAGACATGACCAGTTGTTTCTTCAAGGCTGCCCAGAATCTTAATCTGAGTATAAGATTCTGGCCAGAACTTAACTATGCTCACATGATGGTCTCCGGTGGGATGGGACTCACCATGCGTGCTGAGCTGCAGCTGATATAGCTCTTGAGTTTTTTGCTCCAGAGTTTGCTGGAGGAAGCTCTGGTAGTCTCTTTCTCTCTGAATTAGGTGTTCCAAAAGTCTGGTTGGAAGGAAAAGAGGGAGAAAACACGCCATTTTCCAAGCAGCCTACAGCTTGAACTCACCAATGGTGCAACCTAGAGTGGTATTAGCAGGCCTAAGTGTGGGCTCCAGGTTAGAGGACAGAGCGTGGCCTGACTGCAGGACACCTGCCCCGTCAGGTTTCCTTCTGAGGTGCAGAGCATGCTTTTATCATGGCTTTGAATTTGTGCCTCCCCAGAGCACTGCAAAGGTGATGGTATTAAAAGGGGGAGGGGCAGGGAATCATGTTCCCTTGGAGAAGGTCCCAATGTTTTCCAGGAAGGACCTGGTGAGATGCTGGCAAGATCCAAAGAGAAGATCCTCGCCAGAGAACTGGGTTTCCCAGGCTCTGTAGCTGGGCCAGAGACAGTTCTGCCCTTGGCTGGCTGCCCCAGCAAAGGCCCTTTGCTACTTACAGCAGCCTCGGTGGATTCCAACAGTTTGGAGCTGTTGAGTGCTCAGAACTAACCCAGAAAGCCGAGAGGAGTGTGCACAGTGGGCCCCCTGAACTGTCAAGTCTGTGGAGCTAGGCCAAGGGGCCTCCCGCAGGACAATGCACGGCCCGAACGCCTTCCAGCACCTCTGGCTCAGAGTAGTGATGCCATCCCTCAGAGCCACACAGTTGGGCTCCTGAGCCAGGAAAGGCAGGGCTGTGGCACAGGCTGATGCTCCTCAGGTCAGCTCAGGCTGCCACGTGGCCTTTGTTCCCAGTGGCGGGTTCTTTAATGCATGGTGGAGAAAGGAGTGCGCAGAAGTAAGCTTTCAGTGGTTGAGGTTCTCCAAGTAGTCACTACCCTGGTGAGCACCCCGGGGGTCACTGGGTGGGGAGAGGCTGCAAAAACCCTCCCTTACCAAGCCTGTAGCCTGTCCCATGCTACCTCTTTCCTCACTGGCAGGGGAGTTGGTTCCAGCTTGCACCTGTACCCACGTGGAAGAAAAAGCTTTTGGTTCTGCCACAGGGCCAGACGGGTTACCTTCAGGCACGCCACTCTGCCTGGCAGCCACAGCTGCAGTGTTGGGCGCCATAAGGCTGTATGGGAACATGTTTGTCAGCTATGTGCATAAACACACTGGCTACTGCTCAACTGCTTACCACCAGAGGCTACAGACCCTCCTCAACAGAAATGAACGACTCTGCATGAGACAAAACTTCAAGGTCCATAGTTCCATCTCCTGTGTAATCCTGACACCTCTCCCCTGTTACACAGCCACCAGCGACTGAGAGCGAGGCCCACCTGTTTGCTGTGGCTGCGGGCTGCAGGTGCTGTGTCTGCTTTGTTCATGAACATCTACTGAACACCTGCTATGTTCCATGGATGGGAGCAAGAATCAGGTAAGTGTGTAGAATCATGGCAGTGCCAGGGTTCCCCACTGGCTGGGACTATACCCCACTAATTTCTGACAGGGAGGCAGGGTAGTGTGAGACCCATCTGTCAACCAACTTGTTAACTCAGGGGTGAACAGCTGCCAGCCACTTCTGGGTGAAGGGACAGGGAAGCAAGTCAAAGTGCTTGTGCCCGTGAACAGGGCTGAGTGTCAAGTAATCCTAACCCTGTGGCAGGTCCCTGGGCACTCTTTGAGCCCTTCTCTTCTAGGCTGGGGCAGCTGAAGACATGGATACCCCCTTGCCCAGTTCCTTAGGTTAACCACCCCACTCACAGACCACAGAGCCACAAAAGCCTCACTTGGTGGTCTCCTCTGGGACATGGTTGAACTGGACACTCGGATGCAGCTGGCCCACCGGGGCAGATGTGGCACCATGGCCTCCAACAGCAGCGTTCGTCAGATTAGCCTGAGGACCACCACCTGGCAGCCTGTCCATCTCCTTCACGTTCTGGTCTGATCCCGCAGAGGCAGATCGAGAGCAGCTTTGGAATTCTATGAAGTCACTGAGGAAACCACGGGTTACTAGAGTGACACCATAATAAGCCAGGGAGGGGACTGGACCCTGCCCCCAGCCCACAGCTTGCAGGGCCTGGCAGGGGAGCCAGCACAGGCCCCTCTGCAGTACAAACGTCACCTTCCCAGCTGACAGCCAGCATGGCACATGGGTGTGAAGAAAGCTAGGTAGCTAGGTATACCAAGATGCAGCCAGACCTCAGATCAGGTTTGGGACAGATTCCTACAAAAGGTGCCTCTGGGGAGCACAGGCCTCAGGCTCCTGGGGTCAGCCAAGCAAGGAGCAGCTGAGCCCTGGCTGGGAGGCAGTGTATACTCAGAACAGCCAGCTGTGCCAACAGGAGCACTCCTACTAGGTCAGCAGAGCCATCTCGGGTTCCTCTGACCTCTAGGCTGTAGCATCCAACAGCTTTTCCACCTAGCACCTGGCAGAGGGCACGTAGCATTCCAAGGAGGACCCTTGGACTAGACAGTCATTCTCTCCTAGGTCACGATCCTAGTCTGTGGGCACTCAGCTGCCTCCAGTCTCGAGGACACGTGACACTGAGCTTTCTGAGTAGCCCTTGAATCACGCTGAGCATAGAGCCACAGTCAGAAAGAAAAAGCAGCACCATCGAAACCTGGCACCTTCTGCTCTCCCCGAGCCCAGAGCTGACTCTGACACCAGCAGGACCCTACCTGGCATGAGAGTGGTGATGGCAGCCCACACCACCTGGTACATGATCTTGTCCATTGCTAATTTCCAGTGGGGCCCCTTTAAGTGGTTCTTCAACATTTTATCAACCTAGAGTAAAATCAAATAAAAATCACAAAACTGCATTTCTGGTCTTAGAGTGTATCTCAGAGCTAATGGGCTCTGGCTGCCTCCAGTCTGCTTCCCCTGCGTCTGCATTTCTGCCTGATCTGTTCTGAGACGAACCCAAAGGCAGGCTGGGGACTCAAAACCTCCAGTGGAAGAGCAGTGCTGAGCTGCTCAGGTCCCATGTTGATTCCCATTTCTGCTCTGCGGGGCCCAGTGCACACGTGCCTTTCCTTGTGAGTTACTGAGTAGGAGGAACTGCTGCCTTGGGGCTCAGGTTTGGACACAGAAGAAGCTTATGGCACCCTAGGAGAAGACAGGACCTGCATCCTATGATGTCACATGTGTGCTAGGGTCAGGTGCCAGCACTTACTGTACTCTGGAAGCCAAACAGGACCCAGTGAATCTGGTTGCTGGAGAGGCTGTCAAAGTTGAGGTCCATCTTGAGCTTTGAGATTGTTGCCACCATTATCCCGTGCTCCAGCAAGTGGGTGAAGTCCTGCAGGATCCTGATGATGTCTTTGATGTGGTCGATGGAGAGGTGCAGCTCTATCGAACACACACAAACACAGTGTCCACAGAGTGACTCAAAGGCCCAGAACATTGGGAATGTACTGCCTCCTAAAACATCTCTCTCTCTAAAACAGTGGCCTAGCAGGTAAAGTCCTCATCTTGAACATGCCGGGATCCCATATGGATGCTGGCTCTAATCCCAGCAGCCCCACTTCCCATCCAGCCCCCTGCTTGTTGCCTGGGAAAGCAGTCAAGGACGGCTCAAAACCTTGGGATCCTGGGACCCACGTGGGAGGTGCAGAAGAAGCTCCAGGTTTCGGATTGGCTCAGCTCCGGCCATTGTGATCACTTGGGGAGTGAATCGGCTGACGGGAGATCTTCCTCTCTGTCTCATCTCTGTATGTCTGACTTTGCAATAAAAATAAATAAATCTTTTTTTAAAAATAAAAAGGGCAGAAGGCTCAGTTCACCAGGAAAGGGTCTGAGAGTATATTCCGTAAATTCCTGGTTCTGCAGTATTTGTTTTTGTGTTTATTTTTGCTGGGGATGGGAAGGATGCTGGGAAACACTTCGGGTCTTCATCGTAGCTATGCAAGTACCCTAGAGCATCAGGAGAGCAGGGGAGGTGGTGCTGGTGGTGGTGAGGGGGAGCCCTCCTCTCCAGAAGCATCACCTCTGCCCCCTGAAGCCCTCCACCATCCTCCCTGCTGGAGAAGCACGTGCTTCTCTCCTCTCTTGCACCCCCAGGTCCCAGCGCTGCAAGGAGCCCCAGTCCCCGTCCAGGAGAACTCACCCGGACAAGGAGAGCAAGCATAGCCGCCATGGAGTCCAGGAGGAGGAATAAAAGGGTCCCCGATGGTGGAGGAATCCTGCGTGGTGCTGACGCGGAGGGATTGGCCGCACAGTCACTTCCTGCAGCCCTGCACCCTCAGGGAAGAAGCAGCAGAGGAAGAGGACACATCGCTGGACTCTCCGTGGGGAACAGTTCTACTGGAAGATGTGCTGCAGGCCCGTGAGTGGACATGACGGGGCTCATGGACTCCAG